ACTACTTTTTCTCTGTTTAAAAAAAAACACGGTTTACATTTCCCTTCCCCTTCCAGCTCTTTCTTGGAGGGTAACTCAGGTTTGGCTCCCAGGGCTTACTGGCTGATCCTTGCCGTCAGGTGTGTACTGCTTCCTCATATCTTATACAGATGCTGATGGATGGAAGTGAGCAAGCTTGTGTCTCAGAACTGGAGGCTTCCTGGAGTTGAAACTCCTCAAGCACGTCCACTCACCCAAGGATTCGTTCCATGCCTACTGAGCACTGAGCAAGACAATCCTCCTCTCTATTCTCAGGTGGGGTGGAGCTGGTAGATCAGACAGCCCCCCTTGAGAGCCATCTGGTTGGCATGTAAAATTACTTCCCAGGAAGCAGGATGGTCAGCTGGCCACGTACATCAGCAGGCAGGAGACTTGCAGTCCGGTCTTGGCCTACCTGGCCTAGAAAGCAAGCTGGGATGGATTTTTTTAGAATCACAAACTTTCACAGCTGAAAGGGACCTTGGGGCAAAATGAGCGGATGTTAACATATAGAGTCATATGATGCATATGAGACACTAAATTTGGTTGAGGAAAATCTCTTACTCAAAAGTTAGGCTTTTAAAAAGTCCATTTTAAAAATATGTTGGGGAACGAACTCATAATACCTACTTAGTTTATCTGTTCAGAAGAAAAGTACTATTTATAATTTGCAAGCGGGTCAGTCTTACCTAGGAACAGTGGCACATGCCTGTCATCCCAGCTAGCAGGAGTCTGGGTCCAGCCTGGACAATGTAGTGAATATGTCTCAAAAATAAATAAATAAATAAAATAAAAACAAACAAAAGAAAGTAAGTTAGTCTTATTGCTGCACTGGTTTTTCTTTAATGAAAAATTTAGATTAGAACAATCTAATGATCTGATAACAAATTTATTCACAAATGCTGACTATATTTGGTGTAAAAGGAAACCAGCTGCAATTTCTCATACAGAGAAGGGGTAAACTCGCTTATTAAGTGTGTGATCTTGGGCAAATTGCCAGATCTCTTTCAGCCTATTTCCTCATCTGTAACATGGAAAAATTGGACTTCACTAGGTGAAGTCTTTGCCCAGATGGAAATGTAAGCCTTTTCTACTTTGCTTCATAAAAACATTTCCAAATTATGACAACTCTCCCACCAAAATTGTTACTCTGCTTCCTACCCTTAACTTCCCAACATGATCTAGTTGATTCCTCCTCTTTTATTCTGTCTTTTCCACCTGCTGGGACCAGCCTGTCTGCAGATGGTGGCATCCTAGGTACCCACAACTCACAATGCCTGGAGAGTAGAGGCTGGTTCATCTGAACAGGGGTGGTCATGGCACCAGGGAGACGGGGTCCCCTCTACCAGGTGTCTGCACAATAGGAAGATTACTGAACTCAGCGGTGGAGTGTGGATGTATGGGGAAGTTTTATCCTCTTAGAAGTGGTGGAAGACACAGACTTTGCAATCAGTCACACTTAGGTTTGAATCCTAACTTTGCTATTTACCATGTGACTAGTAATCTCTATTAGTTCCTCACCTAAAATTGATGATAATTAGTACCCACCTTGCAGGATTATTGAGTTAGAATTAAACAATATAGCTAAAATATTGAGGATGTAGCAGCTTCTCCATGAATGGTAGCTATTATAGACTTTTAACTCTGCTCAATGAAGAAAGCAGTTCCTATGCAAGACGTAAATGTTAAAAGCAGCATTGGACTTTCTCGAAAATTCTGGCTAAAATATCATCCGAAGGCATTTTTAGTCATTGATAAATTAAGTCACCATGTTGTTTTGAGGACTGAATGAATTATAGAGAGATGTAATCACCAACCTCATAAACATTTTTAAACTTTTTAAATTCTGTGAATTTAAACAAAATTTTATGCTTGGTAAACACTTTATTTTTAAACATTTCTATTAGAAGAGCCTAACCTGATAACAAATTTATCCACAAGTGTTGACTATCTATATTAGGTATCCAAGGAAACCAGCTGTAATTTTTAATGCAGTGAACAGCATAAAGAAACATGCAGACTGATCCAAATGTTTATAAACGGAGTATTCCTGTGGGACTCAGTTCCCTGACTTTAGGTTTTTTTTAAACATAGAGAGTAAAGCTTTGTTCATACTTGAATTATGTACTTTGCATTAGCCATGCAATTTAACTTTAACCCACAGGACTGAAAGTAAAATTAGCTCAGCCCGTAGAACGAGAGCGTGAGCAAGTAAGAACGTTAATCAAAGTGATGGGCTCACCCCTCGCCACTAGCTCTGTCCTTCTCCAGCCTGCTCCTGCCAGGTCGTTTTGGGTTCCTCGTGCTTCACTCGTCAAAGTGGCAAAAAACAGGCTAAAATTTTCATTGTGGAAAAGGGATTTGCCTTTTAAATTAATGTTTGTGCATATGCCCTGAGGAGATGGATGAGAAGCACGCAATTTTTAAAAATCGTAAGTGAATGCATACCCTTGCCACTTGCAATCATGACAAAGCTTAAGTAATTCAGGCATGAGCATGGTTTTTAAAAGTGCAAAACAGGATTTACTAGTTGAGAACGTCTGCCTAAACAAGCTCATCACTCTGAATATTTTCGACATTCACATTTGTTTAACCCAAGTAGCTCTGGTAAACGTACCACATTTGCTCACTGAGTGTTTGGAACGTCACAAAATAAACCAGGACATGGATTTTAGGCTCATAATGACAGAGGGTGGACAGAGAACACCGCAGGGAGGTTTGGAAACTGCTCGCCCTGGCATCTGGCTTACAAGTACCAGTAGGGGACCTGACCACATTCACCACCCTTTCCTGTAAAGGGGATATAACACTGTTTACTCATCTCCTGGGAGGCTGATACGGATTACTGTCGTTGTCACTGTCATTTATTATCCCAGACAGAGGAGGCAGCGACTTAGTTCTACGTGGTCACAGTTGATTTTATAACGTGTATATTTAGCCTACATAATAATTTGTGAGTATTTTAAAATGAATGTCTAGTTTTCAAATGTCATTAATGGGGACTATCTCAACAGACACTAAGAGCATCAAATGCATAGGTGTTTGCGTCAACCTCCTCTGACTCCACTCTAAGGACCCTGCTTTATAGATGACCATATATTAAGTTGGTGCCTTATAACGCAGCGTGATCATCTCTCTAATTCTGACCCCCATGGTAAAGGAGAAATTGGCCTAAGGACACTCCATTCTAATTTTCTGATGCTGTCAATGCTAACAAGAGCTCATAGAGCAATGATGTGGGGGTGGGGAAGATGGTTCCACCATTGGTATTAGACTAGGAGCTACTGTTTTCGTTAGAGCCACATTTATTTCTGGAGTAGTTGTGGGAGAGAGATGTGCTCCAAAGAGAAGAGGACTCTCTGTGGTGCAGGTATGACCCACAATCTGGACAACCAACTCAGAGACTTTAAAGTGAATAAGATAGAGGTGGGCAGGGTACTTTCTACACATTAAGCCAAAAATGTTTAATGTGTGGAGATAGAATGTTCTTGGGCAGAAGACAGAACGAGAGCTAGAAACAAAAGATCCAGTTGTGAAACCTAGTACCTAAGTTAGGATGTTTGAATATATTTTCTCCTTTAAAAAATTTCTGGGGAACTTGTATGTTTTGCTAACCTGATTATTTTCAGCCAGTCCTTATAGAAGATAGAGGCGCTAGAAAACTAGCAACCCCAGAATATATTAATTCATTTTTGCATGTGTTAAAATTAATTAACATTAGCATATTTAGTGATGCAATAGGCAATTAAAGACTTTTGGAGGGATAAGAAGAAGAAAAATGTAAATATATATTCAAAATCAGTCTCATAGTATTTTATAAAAATGTTGGCTTATGCCCAGGATCTAAAGGTGGAGGTGGATATGGTTTCTTTGTAGCTAAAGAAATAGAGTGGAAAAGAATCTGTTCTATTTCCTTAAAAATAAAAGACTTCTTGTTTTATACATCATGGCAAATGAAATGCTTTTCTGTTTTTTACCTGCCGGCAGGATCTGGAGGAAATTTTTCTAGCAAGCTATGCTGTTTTCCTCTTTGGGGACATGGTGACACTGGTTTTGTAGCAAAACAGTATTTGCTTATTAGGCATTTCTTCAAAATCCTGAATAAGCAGCTCTTTCAACAGTTTTTGTTCCACATGTTAAACATTTCATTGCAATTTGCACTTCAATTGTGTGTGCGTGCATGTGTGCGTGTGTGCGTGTGTGTATGTGTGTGTGTGTGTGTGTGTTGATAGGAAGGAATGAAAGGGGGTGCATAAGAATTCTGGAAGGTTTTTTATTTAAAAAATTAATTCCTCACCATTATGTATTGGAGTCTCTACAGAAAGTGATTCCAATTTATTACATACGGCCAAACTAGATCCCATCAATCTTGAGCAGTGGGGGTAGGGAGGTGGTATTGAAGAAGACATGAAATTTGGTGTTTGAGTAGATGAGATTTAATTTTCGGAAAACATTTCGCTCATAAAACGGATAGCAACCCAGTGTCAGCCCTGACCTCCTGATGTCAATGTCATCGTGCAAGCGTAGCTAAAATAAGCCTCAAAGTAAAACAAAGAAACATTGCATCTCAGCACAACATGATTTCTTCTCTTACAGTATGTACTATCTATAGCCTTTTGGTATTCCTATTAATGGCTTGTTACTTTAAAATTTAGCTTTTGGAGGGGGAGGGAGGAGAAAAATCATTTAGCATTTTCTATGTTCTGAGTGCGTACAGTATGCTGCTGTAAGTCTTAGCATTATTTAGGTCAGTATCCTAAGGATAGCTTTTATCATTCGTGATGATCAGCTATACATCCAAAGGAACTCAGCATCAATTTATTTTTCTGTACTGATTTTATTCTGCTTCTAAGTTTAAGAAAATCCATTCACAATTTAATAAAATTTTATCTGAGGCAGTATCTGCCTTTCTGTACTGCAGATACATTTAGCAGGATACATTTACACTGCTTGTGGTTAAAGGTTATAGCACAGATACAGACAGCTGATCATGCATTCTTCTACAAGCTTGCCGGCACCACTTAGAATTTTGAAAAATAATCTAGAAATGCTATACCCTTTATCGGAATTATTCTTTACTTTGCAATAGCTTAACAATTTTGGTTTTTGTTAGCAATTCTATGAAATTAACAATCTATAAAATGCATTCCGGACCAGATACATACTGTATTGAAAGCTTTCTTCAAGAAGAGGATATGACAGTATTCATTCCAGCTTATTTTCTTCTTTAGCAAAAGGATTGTTTGATTCTCAGAAGCAGAAGGACACATTCATTGTGGAGCAGCTCTGCCTAAGTGTATGAAATGCCTTCTGTCTGGTTGCAGAATTTGGAGTTTGCTAAACAGTGTTTAGTGATTGGGCTCATCTTGCATCACCAGTTGATGACATTTTTCTTTGTTCCCTCCTACCCAGTTGAACCAAGACTCTGAGGCTGATATGCAATGTCACTTACAACATTAATCAGATACTGCATTTAAGGTGAGCTGTCCCTTGCCTCCTCCTTCCTTAGTGCTTGTGTGCTGCATGCAGTGCGTATCTTGCTTCTGCGAGCCTAAGATGGCAGGCAGGATTAGCCGTGCTTGTGCTGTGTGTGCATGCTGTGTATAGAATTCATTACACGTTGCCTAGTATTTCAGATGTGAGTATGTAAATGCTCTGTATGTCATATCATCTGGTAGCGAAGACTTGTTTTTGCCTCATTACAGCCTTAGATATTTCAACATCACCTTTCATTTCCGATTCATTTGCTTCTGGATGGTTGCTTTTCATCACATTCAAAATACGATTTTACCTTTTTTTTTTTTTAACAAAGCCAAAACCCCCCACAAAACCCTACAAACAAAAACAACAACAGCAAACTCTGCTACCAGATGGTGTCTCCCCTTTCTTCTTGCATTTGCTGTCTTTTAAATAATGTATGTTGTATTGTTAATTAATGTGAATATCAAATTAAACACTTGAAACTTACATGTTTATTATGCAGGTAGGAGGCAAGGTGGAGTCTATTTTTAACTCTTTTGCACTGCATTGTGTGCAAGCAACTTGAGTTCTCAAATTTGTATTTTCAGTGCTGGTATCAGTGGTTTGATTTTCAGCAAATGTGACAGTGGCCTTTGCAGTGGTCAGCTCCGAGCTTTGAACTCTCAGAGGAGGAAGGGGAAAAAAATTCAACATACCACCTCCTTGGTTGCAGCCTCAGAGAAACCTTGGATGAGAAACTTCTTTTTTCAATCCTGTTTTCCTGTTGATAAATTCAGTTCTCGTGATCACAGTACATTCAAGCTGTTCTGCGTATGATTTTTGTGTGTGTGTGACAATTGCATCTAAAACTTGTGAGCAAGAAGACGGAGAAATCAGTTGGTCTCCATCGCTTTACATAAAAATGGCTGAGTATCTTGTCATGCTAGCACTGCATTAAGTGATGCATACAGGTAGGTTGAAATTTGCATGTTTTATAGATTTTTTTGGAGCCATGAAGCAAGAACATTAGATGCATTAAAATATGACTTTTAAAATAAAAATGAAATAAGACAGTTGTAATCTTTTGGGGGGAGGGTATTAAATTGGATAGCCTCTGCTATTCAGATACTATATAAATATATAGCTTTTATAAACTTATAAAATGATTCTGCTATAAAAGTGAGATGATTCTTTTTTAAAAAAAATCATATATATGATAGGTGTGGCGCCATTAGACAACAAAAGAATTTTTTGAAAAGTCTGATGATTCAGCTCCATTTTAGCTTGAAACTAAAAATAAATGGGTTTCTGGAGATAATTTCGAAGAGCGTAAACAAGCTTAATAAGAAACATTAAAAATATTTAAATTTTAAGAAGCGGTCTTTAAACGTGTTATATGAAAGATGAAAATGAAAACTTACATGCTTCCAAAATCAATTTTAGGTAATATACAAGAATATACTATTTGTATGTATATAATTTAGGAAGAGGAAGAGTTATAGTTTTTAAAGGGGGAAATATTAAATATAGATGGCCCTGTTAGAAGAAATAGAGCTTCACTAAATGAAACTGAGCCCCTAAAATGGTTCATTGCAGACCATACAGCTGTGGTTCTATAAGTACCAGATTCTGGCACTTTTCAAAATTATTTCATGAGCTCTTCCCTTTGAGCTTAACTTCTCAAATATATTTTAGTTTCGAATTAACACTGGGCCGGAACCTGTTTCCTTGGTAACCAAATCGTATTTTAAAATGCAGTAACAGATATGCAAAAGAATGTCTTAAAAAAGGAAACAAATGTTTAATGAAAATTTTACAGTTGTTTTCCCTCTCCTATAGAATCTGAACTGGTTTTAGACGTTTTTAAATACGGTCTTCAAGCCTTAAAAATTAAGCTATATTTCTAAACATATAGAGAAAGCTTGCACAGTGACAGCTTTTTTCTTCCTCCTTTGTGTTCATTCTTTCAAAATTAAGGTTTTCTTTGTAATATGCTCCAGAATGCAGGTCAAGATTTGTGTACCGAGGTGTAGTTTCATTATCACGAGTTCACCAGCGCCACTGAAACAAAAGGTATTTCAGAAATTCTGAGAATCAGAAAATGCTTATGCTCTTGTTTTCCCTGATCCCTCCATTGGTAACCTCAGAGCCCGGTAGAGAAGGACCCAAACCCAAGCCTACTGCCCCAATGATAAGTGCATATCGAGCCTTTGTAGAAGCATCTTTGTAGTTGTGTTAGGAGGAAAATGCTGCCACACCTGAAACTCCCCGAGGTTTGCTCCGATGAGAACATTGAGATTCAAAACCATCTGTGTAAATAGTTGCTTTATACTAACAGTTTTTGTAATATTCTATTCCATAGCACTATCTGTAAAATCAAACCTCTTATGGGCTACAAAGTTGTTGTTTTTGTTGCTGTTGTTGTGTTGTTTTGAGGCCAACTAAAATATTTTGCTTGAAGTCTTTCTCTGGCTCAATTATATTAGAACGTGATTCATCTCATAGTGATTTTGTTCTCCGGGCTTGCTGTGAAGTATCCTTCCTGCAACACCTTTTTTTTTGTTGTTGTTCTTGGTTGTTGGGAGCCATTTTCCTTCTTGCCTGTGACTTAAAATGACTAAGTGCATTTTAAATGTATTATCAATCAGATGATCGTAAACTGAAGAGAAATGTCAGAAACCTGATTCAGTAGTGCCTATTCATTTTAGTACCAATAGCATTAACAGTTGCAGTAGGATCAAGCTAATTGTCATTCACTCCTGAACAAATAATGAGCCAGGCATTTGTAACTAAAACACTATTGCTATTCAGAAAGATTACAACTATAAATCTTCTATTTTGATAGGCCAGTCCAAATTAATCATTTTGAACCCATTTGAATCTTAATTACAAGATTAGATGGATGCAGTGCAATTGTTTTACCATAAAAATGAATGCCTAATAGATTCAATAGTGTACTTCCTTTTTATAAAATGTCGATCCTTTTGTTTGTAACTCAAGCATGATTGCGTCATCTTGATTTTCATACTTAATGGTTTTTTTTTTTTGTGGCATTCATTTATGTTGTTCTCGGTCTTGCCTGAAAGAATTTTAAACACAATTCAAGGAGCTATAAAGCCAAATAAGATTGTTGGGAAGTGTATTGTACCATCGTCATTCTAATAAATAGACAAGTGAATGGAAGAATAATTATTATATATTACTTTGTTGTGTTTTGCCTTAATGTTTTGCCTTCATATTTCATAGCAATGTTTACAAGGCACAGAGCTTTTCTAAACTTACCCATTTACAATTATTATTGAATTCCCTGGATTAGCTGAAAACGTTTCCTGCCGATTGTAGAGGATGGCACTTACCCCTTCTCATTGTTTGAAAGACTATCCTTAACCCATTTACACTTTCTGGCTCAGGTGTTTATACTGGGCAGGCCAGAGCAAGTGCAACAGGAAGAATGTGCAAACAACTACTTTGTACTCACCAAAACGAAATGGGCAAATTATGGTTTTTCTGCCTGAATGATTTATAGTATAAAATTCTCAACTCTTTTTCTTCTTTGAAGAATAGGAAATGTTTTTCCAAGCTTTAACTCAGTGGGAATACCAAGATGACATTTCTTGCTACTAGAGTAATGTTGATCTACCTCAACTATTTCCATAGATCCCTGATACATAGACTGGTGGTCAGACCATGACTTAGAGCTTCTTTACTGGTTCATATGTGAGAAGGATCCCTAGAAAAAGATGGAGCACCTTTCTTTTTAGTACTAAATTATGCTAAGCCTTTGAGTTCCTGGTACCATATGGTTCCTTCTAACAGCTCCCTTCCAAGGAAAATGCTATTCTTAATGGCTCTCTTGGCAATTAAACACTCAGTGCATTTATTGAGCACCTACTATATGCTAGGCATATTCCAGAGGCTGGAAATATAATGACGAACAAGACAGACCATAGCCCTGCTTCTTATGGACCTGCCTTTAGTGGGGGAAGGGCAGAGGAAGTAGGCAAAAATAGACATGTAAACAAATAACTAAAAAAGACAAGTGCAAAGATGAAAAATAAAATAAAAATTTAAAAAACAGGGTGATTTGGTTGCAGGGAGGAGAGCTGCTTTAGAATAGTTGGTCAGACAAAGACTTCCTGGGAGGTGGCCTTTAAGTGGAGATCTGTGTGCAGAGAGGATCCAGCCAGCTGATTATCTGATGGGGGGCATTACCAGGCAGAGGAGTGCTCATGCTCAAATGCAAACTTTCCTTTCCTTATATAACTGTCACTGTCTCAGAGCCAGGTCTGACAACTTCACACACGGGTTGAGTCTTACGTAAGCTTCCTCCACGGTAAGAGAATGGCCCAAGTTCCCGTGCTGGTTTTAGCTCAGCCACACTCCCAGCGTTTGGTACCTGTGGGGTCATTGCCTTTGACCCAGTCACCAACCTGCTTAAGAGGTATTGCAGATCTAAATGGTGATGAAATCCTGGCACAGGTTCAGTGCCAACCTGAGGAATCCACAGAAGAAAGGCCTCTCAGAGCAGGGAAATTTCTGGGAAGCCTCTTGCTTTATTTTTCATAAGAACTCGAGAATTTAAACTCACGGCAAAACATTGAGATAATCATTTAATTTTTTTTCAAAGGCAACATGGCGAAGGGATCTGCCTCATCCTGCCAATAGATTCTCTTAGATCTAAAACCCTCCCACCAGAGTGAAGTCTTTTCAGGTTTCACTAAAACACTTTGGCTCTGCAGACATCTTTGCCTGTTGGTGGTTTTCTAAAGACCTTACTACTTAGAGTAATTGTTCTCTATTAAAGCAAATACTTCTAAGAAAATTCTTCTTAAGGACCAGAACTCTTTTATGCCTTCTACATTAGTCTCCTGACAAAGGTCAGAGAACAAAGGAGTAAATTTGTTGTGCAAGTTAGAAACTATAAGGCTTTTGAAAGCCTTCCGAACATTTCAGAAGCACCTTCTAAAGCCGATTCATAATTTAGTAAACTTTGCTTCTCACGGTAGAGGTGGCCTGGC